TTTTTGTGGGTGTAGAAGGCCATGGATTATGTTCTGTTCTTTCATTTCTTTCAATTTTACAGCACAGAAGCATGGTTTGCATTTGCAGTACCCTCCCCTTAGCCACTTTTAATTTCTACGGTTAAAGTAATGAATCACAGCTGTGGACAGCTAATCTGTATGCTTATCACAGCAAATCCTTATGCTTAGTATTTTTTAACACTTTGCATCCCAAGACATGTCATCAAACACGTTTACATACAGATGCACACTGAGACTAAAATTACAGATGTCACATGGGTCCTCACACCAAGGATAAAATTACACACAATGCTAAATTTCCAAACTGACAGAAACAAATAGGAATACAGAGTTCTGCACTTAACAGATGATAAAAAAAATTTTTTTTAATCTTCAAAATATTCCTTAGGTAATACCAAATATCTAAGCTTGAAAAGTAACTTGGATTTCCCCTACAGTTGGCACCTTACAAAAGTACCCTGTCTGGCCCCTTTCAAGGTTGTCTTCCCTGTATTCTGAGTCAGGTAACCTCTGCCCCTTAGAGGGTAAAGACATGACTGATCCATTCTTGGTGAACTGCTAAACCCATTCCCTTCCCCCAAACAGGCATGACTACTTGGACATGTCAACAAATCCTTAAGGATGGATGAAACAAAGCACATCTAGTGGTTCATTAAAACAGCACAAGAGGCAAATGCTACAAATGTCAACTGGTAAAAATTCACAGGATTACTAAACACTGTAGAAATTCTCTAACAGGATTTTTTAAAACCAAGTTTGTGTAATGCAATTTCATGAATTATGCAAATAAAGGTTTAGGCTATTCACAGAAAAGCCCAGTGTTCTGTTACTTTCATTGCACAGAACTGAGCACTGAACACATCAATCACAAAAGTCACAGGAGACGTTGTTGCATTCCTGCCTGCTGATGGCTCTGCTTAAACATTTACATTTCAGACAGTAAAAAAGCACATCACTATTTTACAGCTGGGCATTCTATTTACTTCCAACTGTGATTCTTCTGGTTAAAGGGGGGGGGGCACAATTCTGTATTAACCACACCCCCTAACATTTTCCAAATAAAAATAGAGGGAAGAATTATTAGGGAAGGGTGGAATTTCAGAGTTTAGTGATTCTTTTTTTTTTTTTTTTGGAGAGGTTTTTTTTTTTGCTATAGGGTGCGTGCGCTCGCCAGACAGACAGAGAGAGACAGAGAGACAGAAAGCGAGAAATCACCCCCCAGAGGGGATGGCCATGCCACAATCCCTTCTCTTCCATTCTCCTCTCAGGATCTTGGGCACGCACGCACACACGCCCAGCGTGAATTTTAAGCCACTGGGTCCAGGACTCGAACTGCGGTTGACTACATGGGAGTCCAGTGACATAGCCGTTACGCTAACTGCTGGTCCCAGAGTTTAGTGATTCTTGAGGACTTACCGGTTTGATTGTTTTCAGACTGGGCTATAAGAGCTGCCATTGATGAATTTGGATTTAATCTACTGCCATACATATGTGATGGTGGCTGGCTAAGAGATGATCCAGGTAGGGTATTTGCCTAAATGAAAAGAATTACAATAAAAAATGAGTTACATGTGAAAATATCTTAATGATTTTCCTAACAGACCTAGTAACTATTTTCTCCAATTTAAGAATATATGGAAAAATTATTTTCTGAAAAGCAAATTTCATTTTGAAATATCAATTTTTGAAGTTACTTAATCATAAATTTTTTTAAAAGTGACACATTCAAAGTTAACTATTCCTGCATTTTTAATTTTCTAATGTATCTAGTTGATACCAAAATTCAATGGAATGGTAACCATGTGGACATATGACATAATCTTATTAAACCGTGTATAAAACAAGGACAGGTACACAACAGAGGTCTAACGAATGCTTCCATTTCTTCCATTACAAGCTGGCTGAGGAGGTCAAAGGCCCATCTGTACCTCCAGTACTCTAACTATGCAAGGCCGTATTTCCACTGCTGGACTCTGTCATTAGTAAGACCTGCACACTATTCTGTTACTTCCTATTCTGACAGAGTTGGAAGCCTGCTGCTTTTTCTGTTTTGTTTTGTTTTTATTTTAAAAGAAAGCAAACAGGCATCACAAGTATGTTTTCTATACAATGCAGGGCTCAACGAATCACAGCGTTGCCCTGACCCCATATAAGGCACTGTCTTTTTGGCAGAGAGCCAGCTCTACTAAGTGAAGAGCTCGTCCAAAGTTTGTAATTCATTCATGTCGCTAACCACAATTCTGAAGGCCTCTACTGGGACCTGTGCCAAACAAGCGAAAATGAACCCTGAAACAGATGAAGCTAAGGAGGCTGGCCAAAGTATTGCGTAATCCAATGTAATAAAAATGCCTTCTGTGATGTGACTACTCTCTAGCACTTTCCAAGAATATTATAACCTTAAAATGTAGCATTTTAGAAGCAATCTCCTGTACACAAATACTGTTACTCACAGAAGACTTTTTTCCACTGGCCTGAAATAATTTTCAGATTTAACAAAATCACACATCTTAAAGTAGACTTATTCTTTTCCATGAATGAAAACAAACTTCGACTTTTATGAAATGAAGTAATTGCATAGCTATTTCAAAACAAAACTCTTAAAAATAACTTCAAAGAACCGAAGCACTTCTAACAAAGAAGCTGAGTAACAGCAGAACAAAAGATGCAGGACATTCTGACATGTGTAACTGCACACAAGAGACTAAGACGACAGTGGTTAACAACAAGCAAAAAATTACAGAGAATAAACTGTTTCTAGATATACTCATATTCTGAAATTGTAGCTTGGCCTTTAGCCAACTTATTAAGTCTTACAACTCTCGGAAACAGTCCTGTGGTGTGGAATCCTGTCCTTGCTTTGACTACTTCAAACCACATATTTTATAGTTTATACTTGAATGTGTAAATTCAACTAATCAATTTCTGGCTTTCATTTTTCTTCTTCATAAAGATATGCATATAAAGTCACTATGTTTTTATGATAAAGTGTTGCACAATCAATTCAGCCCTCAGGAAATCCTAAGCTATAGTCTCGGCCTACAGCGACACTGGACACTTACCATGTATTTAATAACATAGGAAACCTGAAACACGGGATTCATCTGAGACATAGTTAAGATTTTACCTTTCCAGAAACCAACTATCTGGAAATCACAGCTACTGACAAAATAACTTACAACTAGAAAAACACAAACAAACCAATAGAAAAACCAGATGTTACCAGTCCCATGTGTTAAAGTCCCAGGTAACTAAAACTTAAAAACATCTCTTGCAGAGCCAATTTACTATTACTACAGACACAATTCCAAAAAGATCAACTAAGCATATAACAGATTAAAAGTGGAAAATTAATTAGAAGGAGGAAGAAAAAATAGTATCTTTAGACAGTTTGTTGGCAGCAAAAAGTACCAGCTGACAGCTGGCAAGGAGAAAATGTAAGGAAGAATGAGAGAGTATCAAAGACTGCTGAAGACTCAAAGAACGTGAACCTCTAGATGTCCTAGCACGCAAAGCAAGGAAGCATTCCTAGCTTTCTGATTGTCTTCTCATGCAGTCACTTCCTTTATATATCAGTGACAGCATAACTAACATTATGCCAATTAGAATACCTTTAAAGTCCCGATTAGTATCATGAGCTGCCTTAATCTCTTCATAAAAATCCAAAGATCCAACTCTTATCAGGAATACGCTCTTGGCAAGGATTCCTTCCACCGAGGATTTTCTATAAGAAGTCTTCAAAAATTTCATGGGATATGTATACTATAACAAAAATACTGTGGGGGAGTGACCAGCAGATGGTATAACAGTTACATCGCTGGATTCCCGTATAGTAGACCACAGTTCGGGTCCTGAACCCAAGGCTTAAAACTCATGCCAGGTGCATGTGCATGCATGCCCAAAATCCCGAGGGGAGAATGAAGGAGATGAGATTGTGGCCGGCAGGTGGTGTGGTGGTTATGGGCACTGGACTCCCCCACATGGCTGACCACAGTTCGAGTTCTGGACCTGGGGGCTTGCTTTCTCATGTTCCTGTTCTCTCTCTTGCTAGTTTGCTCTGCCCCTCTCTCTGGCCAAGTTGGAATGAATGAATACATACATACATAAATAAATAAATAATTCTTTAAAAAAAATAGGAAGTAGTCCAACATAATAACTGATTTGTATAACAACTATCATCAGAAAAGGATAAAGAATCTTTAGCTTATTCTAAAGCAGAGAAATATCTATGAATATATATGTATTTTTAACTGCCAAAGGCAGTCTGTGCTAACCAAAGACATAAAGAGACAGGGAAAAGGTCCCCTCAATAGGGTGTGGTCACATCACAATCCTTTCTCTTGTTCTCTATCCTGCCAGGATTTTAGGTACAAATGCACAGGCACCCAGAACATTTCTCGCGTTCTAAGGGCCAGATTTCAACCTGTGGCTAGCCATGGGGGATCTGGCTCCCTTAAATACTTGGCTACTAGGCCAGCCCAGAAAAGTATACATTTTTTTAAATGGCTGCAAAAATTAATAATAATAAACTAAAATGGGAATACTATTCTAAAAGAGCAGTTTCTCAAACTGTCTGGATGGCTAAAAATACACCTAGTAGTTATTTATCTTTCTTAAATTATTAGCTATATAGACAAGGAAATTTCAGAAGAAATAAAAAGTCATTAAAATTTTCAGACAGAGTTTGGTGTATTAACACATCTAAACCACTCTACTTTTTGCTAAAAATCTTAAGCAATGAACATCATTTTAAGGTGGACATCATGAGTTACAAGTGGTGTTACTTTACACCCACATCTGTCACTGCGTGGCCAACACTTATGAAATAACGTTTGAACTGGTTAATGCTGGGAACCCATGACAACCCTTTTTGTTGGTGCCTCTGGGTCAAGAACCCCCATGTTTAAGTGAAAAGATTCCATGACTCAGTAGCAGAGAAGATGAATAGGTGAGAGCGCTAAGAAAGCCCACTTACTGATGAGAGAATACACGCAGGGGCTGGCATTTTGTACACTCAGAGCTCCTTGTCATTAGCAAGTGAAAGCACAAAAGTCAGGAAAACAGAAGCAAGTCCATGTTAACACAAACAACAAGGGTTATGAAGCATAAGGGCATGGAAAGTTTTTATATAAAAGAAATATGGAACAAGAAAAGAGAGGTAACATTAACATACCAATACTAGTCTACAGCCTCCCTTAGACACATCTTTTTTAAAAGTCTGCTGAAAACAAATCACTAAAGTACCAAAAATCTACTTCAGAAGATCTATATAAAGACTAGAATTATTTTTGGAGAGAGGTAAAAATCAATCTTATGACATTTCTTTCTTTCTTTTTTTTGGAGAGGTTTTTGCTATAGGGCACATGTACTCACCAGAAAGACAGAGAGATAGAGAGACAGAAAGTGAGAAATCACCTCCCAGGGGGATGGCCACACGGCAATCCCTTCTCCTCCATTCTCCTCACGGGATCTTGCGGGGACACGCACATACACCCAGTGTGAGTTTAAGTCACTGGGTTTGGGACTCGAACTGTGGTCGACTACATGGGTGTCCAGAAACATAGCCATTATACCAACTGCTGGTCCCCCAATCTTAAAACATTTCAATATTATCCTGCCCAGGTAAGGAGAATGGCTATTGTGAACGGGTATTCATTTTCCTTGGATACACTGGCATGATAAGAATATGACTTGTTAACACTAGAAAAGGCTGAGTAAAAAGAGCCGTGACGTGGGCCATCCTGTGGCCTGGTGGTTAAAGGAGCAGGATTTCATATGGCTGAATGTATAGTTCAAGTTCCAGACCCAGTGGCTTGAAAAGCATGCCAGATGTGTGGTGCGTGTGTGCCCAGAATCCCAGAAAGAGGAAGAATTGGAGAAGGGACTGTGGCATGCCCATTCCTTATAGAGGGTGCTTTCTCTCTCTCTCTCTCTCTCTTTGGCAAGCACACAAGTCCTTTGGCAAATTAACCAAAAAAAAAAAAAGAATATCCATGATGTAAAGTGAATGTTCGTACTGTTCCTGCAACTTTTCTATATAGCTAAAACTATTTCAAAATAGGAAGTTAATACTGCCATAGTCAACTTCTGCATGCTACTTCTAGGGTTCATAACAGAAAGGAGCTACTTCCACTCTAGACATTATATGACATTGATTTGATTACTCTAATAAAAAAAAAAAACTCATTGAAAGCAGTATAATTATTCTACAAAATAGACCCAAACACTATTAGGTTAAGAAATGAATAATTATTAAGCTAAATTTAAGTCACTTTTAAACAAAATATGTTTAGGTATATGAGTTAAAGAATACCCTCAGAAAATTTACAATAATATATTAAACATCAAGAAAAAATGCACATTAAGAACATAAAATGACAGGTCATATTAAATGCATGTTAAGAACATAGAATGGCATGCCATATTAAAATATTAAGATTAAAATTGCATTTCAGCTTGAAATTTCTCCTATTGTTAACAGGTCACCTCTTATAGTGGGTTGTTGGAAAAGTCAGGACGTATTTTTTTCTACATATT